ATGTGATTGCATCCATCACAGTAGAGTATGTCTCCTCATAATCAATACCAGGTCTCTACAAGAAACCTTGGGCTACAAGTCGGGCTTTATATCTTATAATTTCATTTTTCTCATTATATTTCCTTACAAATACCCATTTGTACCCTACAGGAATGACATCTTCTGGTGTCTAGACCAGGGGCGGAGCCAGGATTCAATGTAAGGGGGGGGCAGAGTATTAACAGTTTTACTAATATAATATAATAATATTTTAAGTCAAAAGTACTTCATGATCGATTAGATGCATACAAAAATATATTTAGACAAAATTTGGCCAATTTGTTTACAAAATAATACTTCGTCTATATCTAGTCAAATATGACATAGATAAATACAAAAAGAAACCTGAAAGACCAAACAACTACTACAAAAGCTGAGCTCGACGATCTTTTAGAGAAGAAAAATCATCTATAATTGAATCTGTACTAAAAGTCTGAGCAATTTCTTTTTCAATACTGACACTCAAGTAATCTGCAAGAAACTCATCCTCCATCCTGTTGCGCAGTTATGTTTTGACAAGTTTCATAGTTGAAAATGCCCTTTCTGTAGTTGCCGTGGAAACGGGAAGAGTCAAGACAAGACAAATCAACCTATCAATCAAAAAGTAGATTTTTGACTTCTTTGTTTCCACTAATCCTCTACATAGTTCAGAAATCGTTGACATATTTTTCAAATATGAATGAACAAGCATTTCAACCTCATAATGTTGCAATTGGAATGTCAACATAATCCTCTCTTGGTCCGTGAAATCTTGAGGATAAAATTCATCTACAAGCGTGCAAATGTCTTTAACGTTAAAGAACTTGTAACCATCTCTAGGATCCAAAGCTGAGCTAAGAGTAACAAGTTTCATTGCCTTTTCACTAAATCTGTTATTCAACTCCTGCAATTGTGAATCAATTGTGCCATAAAATATATCAATCTGATAGTAGTGCTCAAGTGTAATATTCTCTTGTGGGTGACGTGACTGACCCTTAATTTTTTTGGTATAAGGAACACTCAAATCAGGCACATCAATGTTGTGGCACTCACAAAATGATTTAACAATATCAAGTAACTTGTTCCAACCATTTTCTCTCAATTTCAGAATGATTTGTTTTGTACTTGAAACCAATTGCATAACATTTACGATGTCTTGATCTTTTTGTTGTAAAGCTTGACAAAGGATATTAATTATTCCCATGATATCTTTTTATCAAATGCAAAATAAACACAAACTGAAATGATCTAAGAGTATTAAAAGCAGTATCAGCATCTCCCCGGATCTTGTAATTACATCCATCTTCAATGAGGTTGTTAAGAACTGAACATGTTGGACCAAATAACCTTATCAAACTACAAACAGAATCAAAATGGGAGCTCCAACGAGTATCTCCAGGTCATTGCAAGTTAGCAATCTGATTAGCTCCTCGACCGGTTTCAAGTTCATCAAGATATATCAAGTGGGAAATTTCCATAACTTGAGCAGAATGTAATTCATCAGTTCGTTTGCAAGAAGCTCCGATGTTATTGATAATGAAGTTCAAGTTTGAAAAGAATTGATGGACAATGATTACTTCTCTTGATGCGGCAACTAATGCTAGTTGTAGTTAGTGAGCTAAGCAATGCACATAATATGCATAAGGACAATCATTAAGAAATAATGCTTGCAAACCATTCCATTCACCACGCATATTGCTAGCACCATCATAACCTTGACCTCGGAGATTGTGAATATCAAGATTATAGTGAGAAAGAACTGCACAAAGATCCTTTTTAAATTCAATGAAGTTGTATCTTTGACATGCACAAGATCAAAGAAACTTTCTTGTAAAAAACCATCATTATCAACGTATCTTAAAACGAGAGCCATTTGCTCTCTTTTAGATTCATTACGAGCTTCATCAACAAGAATACAAAACTTGGCATCGCCGATATCTTCACGAATCTTATTTCTCACTTTTCTAGAAACAATATGCAAAATCTCTTTTTGAATTTGTGGCAAGGTATACTTGGCATTTTTTGGAGCATTTTCAAGAACAATTCTAGCGACATCATCATTATATGACGCAAAAGCCTTTACCATTTCAATGAAATTGCCTCGATTACTTGATTGAAGGGATTCATCATGCCTTCTAAATGCAGAAGCTTGATAAGTAAGTCATCGGACCACATCAATTGTGACATTCAATCTCAATCGATTATTTGAAACGTGTACGGAAGTTTGTCTAACCATCACTGTATCAATATGACAAGGTTGATTCATTAAGTCCTTACACGTTCTCTCAGCAATGCTATGAGTAGAACATGGACTTCCTCCCACATGATTTAAAAAAGCACACATATTGCCATCATTAACTTTCTTCCAACTTCGAAAGCCTTCACTAGTAAATGCATTGGTTCCAAGACGCCCGGTTGGTTCGCTCCAAAAAGAAAGCAAGGTAAGCAATATTGTGATACCTCTCGGATCCGAGACACGGGTTGATCAGGCCCAGGCCCAAACCCGAGGGAATATCAAACAATTAATATTTTATAATGAGCACGGAATACAAAATAAACTAAGAAATGAAATTAAAGCTGGAAGTAACTAAAAATAGAATCCGCAAAATATTATAATTATTAAAATCCATCAAACCCAAACTCCAAAACTCCATCAGTTTACAACTTGGGAATCCATCTCTAGTGGACCCCTATTAAACATCTAAACGGAAGATAGAACAACTGTAATAAACGTCCAGAAATAAAACTATAGAGAGAGCCCTACATCGTCGGAAGAGTGAAGAGAGACCTCTGCTCAGCACGAACACGTCTAAGCCTGGAACTGTCGTGTACCTGAAAAATAGAAGTGGGTCAGGCCCACGCGCAAGTTCTATACTACTACAATCCAAACAGAGGCCCGATACGCATGTACATCCTAAACAATTCAACAATAGCTGATAGTCCGTAAATATATATATAGTCACACTAAAGGACTCTCACTGGACTACAGGCCGGACTCAACCTGAATAGAGGTAACATGCTAAAACGCACACGAAGTGGGCATATGTACCTATACCTAAACAGGGTACACCTCCAACCATCGTAGCCAGCTACACATCCCGATACATATATGCTCCCTAGCCATCGGTCCTGAGGCTCAAACTCATACCGAGGCACCATAACATTACATATATAAAATCCATCCAAAATCCCTGGTATTGCCGCTTAACAAGTAGTTGCCATGACAATACAAATTCACGGGACTTAACTTTTAGTTAATCCCATCCTTATTCCAAGTAGGTGGATAATGGTATTGTTTTAAAAATCAAACCCATCCTTAGTATGCCACCATCCCATACCGGTGCCTACTTTCCAATCCTCCAGTAGTCAATAATACCAATAAATCAAGTATATATCAACTAAATTCCAACATCCAACATTCAATGTTAGCAGTGATAAAATAAGCATTGATAAACAGGGTCACAACAACAACATATACATGCCCAATTTAAGTTGTTCCCTTTAGTCTGATATAAAGACAGAATTAATTAAAACTTCCATTTAACACCTTACAAATGACATACACATATGTAGGGTATGTATCACAAAATCCTAACCTTCACAATTGATACTAACTGTGATAATGTAAGCATCAAAACAATATTCACAGTATGTATGTAGACATGCTCAAATTGTAGTGTTCCACAAAACCGATCTAGTGTTAAACTTAAATCCTCCTAGTATTTAAGTTCCAACAGTTGCTATTACAGAAGTTAAGATAGCTATCATCTAGACCCATCCTTCCAATAATTTACACTAGCAGTGGTAAGGAAAAACGTGAATCACAGAACCACAATGCATCCACAAACATGCTTAGTCTAGGTTGAACAAGCATACAACACTACTGTAACTATCAGTTTCATAGCAAAACAGATATCATTTTAGTTTGGTTTAATCTTCATTAATCCTGAAATCATGTAAGAGTGCAAAGAGTATGAAGCCTAAGGGAAAGAGTAAGGATAGAATCTTGCCTCAGAAACTTTTGTTCAAAGTTTCAACGTCGTCTTCTTAAAAAAAATCCCGGCGAGTTCCAAAACCCGGTTACTGTTTACGGGTACGAAATACTATTCCTGAACTCAAAATCTGATCTCCACCGTTCAGATTGTGCGACACTGAGTCATGAACCTATCCTCCAAATTTTAGCTCGATCGGACCACGGACGAAGCGGAATCGGATGTTTGATGAAATCTGGGCATAATGGAAAAAACCTGTGCGACCCAGTTACTGTTCACGAGTACGAATCACTGTTCCCGAGGTCAAACTCTGATCTGTACCATTCAGATTGTGCGTCACTGAGTCGTGAACCTCTCTTCCAAAATTCAGCTCGATCGGACCACGGACGAAGCGGGATCGGAGCTTTGATCAAACCTTGGCATAATGTGAAAAATTGCGTTTTTCCTTCTCCACTTCCACAAAATGTGTGCTTTGTTTTAAAAAAAACCCTACACAGACGTCTACCTTATACTTATAGAGTTTTCTTAAACCCTAGATTCATTTAAGTCCAACTCACAATCCTAACCGGCCCATCCAATTAACGTAGAAACCTACGACGGCTATAATATAAAACCCTAATTTATACTGTAATTAAAACCCTAGTTAAATGTATTTACCTAATTACCCTATTCACCATTAAATACTTAACAAATAATCTAGTTGAACAAAATAATAATTAGTAAACCCAATTAAACCAAATAAGACACACATAGAATAATTAAATCAATTACACTTAAACCATTTATGCCAATTAAATAATTAAAACACTAACAAGTAATTCCAATCAAATAACTAAAAATAAATATCATTTAAATAAATTAAATCACCACAAAAGAAAACAATTAAGCACCTAATAAAAAGAATAATGACACATAATCAAATAAAATGCACTTAAATAATAAATTAAATACCATTAAATACCAGGAATATCCTTTTTAAAATTAGGGGTATTACAAATATGCAGCATCCTTTGAAGGAGAATACTCTAACCAGGTAGGAAATAATTTAAACCAAGATGATTGAAATCGACGACGATGCTTTTCCGATCCAGAAAGCGGATATACTGAAAGCACAATTTGATATGGTTTCGCTTTAATATAAGCTCGTCGAACTTCATCACGTTCGTCAACAGGATAATCCCATATTTGACGACGTAATCCTGGATCACGTTCTAAAAAGGTAGGATCAACTTTTGTAAGTTCAACTCTTAGAGATTTTGAAGAACGCTGGTTATCATGAATCGAAACATCGACATTAGAGGCGGAAGCCACAGAATGCACATCATTTTTTTGAAAAAAACAATCAATAGTTCTTTTTGGCTTCACCATCGTCGTATAACACTGTACCTAAAGAGGGTAATTCAAATATAAACTTTTAATACCTAAGGTTTTACATTGTAATTTAAACCACCGATCCTAAATTCCTAATAAGCATAATTGAATAAAAATAATATTGCACCCTCATTGCATATAAAACAACTAATTTAAAATATAAAAAAGTTATCACCCACAATTGTGCACCTGTGCAGTGTCTAAAAAATAAATTGTGCGCCTGTGAAGTGTCTAAAAAATAAATTGTTTGCTTGTGAAGTGAGTTTAGAATTTGTATATATAACAACACTTGCATGACTAATTTCAAGTGAATTTCAGAAAAAATAGGAAAAGATAAGTTTTAGAATAAAAAAATGTGTACCAATTAAGATTTTCAAAGCCTCCGTGTTAGTCCGTGATAGTTTCCCTCAAAATATTATGCAGTTTTACTCCTGAGATGTAGAAAATTATAAACATCAGTACCATTGAGAAATTAGTAAAAGAAATAACAAAATTGCTTCCAAAATTTGTGGACAGTGGACAATAAAGCAAGATTTGTGGGCAGTGAACAATAAAGTTGGTAAGAGAAATAACAAAATTGCTTCCAAAATTTGTGGACAGTGGTCAGTGGACAATAAATTAATAAAGCAAGATTTGTGGACAGTGGACAATAAAGTAATTCAAGACTCAAGTCCAAAACAATCTCAAAGTCCCACAGTGAGTCCGATTAAACATTTAAACTCCTTCATTTTATCTATATATGCTGACATGCTGTCATTTAACTACAAATAAGAGGCAAAATACATGAATTCAACAAAGCAAACATCAAGATTGTGCGCTAAGAACAAGTGAACAATGCCCTAGACTTTGATGAAATAGCTATGCAAAATTTGTATACCGAACAAGATTCGAAAAATATTGAACAAACGGCCAGTAAACGGCTATGTAAAACAGAAACACTATCAAAGTATCAATTGAAAAAGAAAAATAACAGAATAAATTATAATGGATGTGAGTTCTCTGTGGAAATTGGAATTACCAGGTAATCAATCAAGATTCGAGAGTCTGACGAAGAGATAAATCGGAAAATGTGAAGATCAAGAGGCTAAGTAGTGTACCAATTCATCAATTCCTACAAACAGTCTAAGCGGAGGAGAAGGTGAAGAAAAGAGGGTTAGGGCAAGGCAAGAGGGGTGGGGGGGTGTAATACCCCTAATTTCAAAAGGATAGTCCTGGTATTTAATTTATGTTTTAATTGACTTTTTAATTATTTGACTTACTTGACTTATTTGTATTATTTGAATTAATTATTTGGTTTATTTACATTAATTGTGATTATTTGAGTTAATTGTTTTAATTATCCATTTGGCTTTAATTTTCTTTAAATTGTACTATTTGATTTAATTACCTGATAGAATTGTTTATTTTGCTTGTGTATTTGAATGTTTGAATTTATTTGAAATTATTAATTTATTTGCTTGTTATTTAGTTAATTGTATGTTAGTTTATTTAATTGTTTAGTTAATTGTATTTTTGGTATTTTAATTCTTTTAAATGCTTAATTGGTTTAATTTAGGGTTTTGTTTAGAAGTTAAGTCTTGGTAGCCGACGTAGATTTTAATTAGAATTCTCTATAGGACGGTTAGGATTCATTGTAGGGTTTGGCTTGATTTTAGGTTCTGTATAAACCTATAAATATAAGTATTAAGTCTGCTTAGGGTTTTAGAAAAAAAAACTATTCACGACAGTGGAGGCAGAGAGAGAACAGAGGAGGATTTCAGTAGGACGTTGCCGGAGAACGTAAGAAGACGACTGTGCAAGGCTAAAGGCAAAAGGCAAGTTCTATTCCTAACTCTTTCCCTTGGACTTGTGTTATTTACATGTTTAATGCAACTCCAGGACTAATAAAGATTAATATTAAACCAGATGGCTTGTCTGAATGAAAAAACAAAACTGGTCGTGGTTTCATGTTACGTATTGGTTGTTTCGGATTCTTTCTTGCGTAACTCCTGAATTAATTCATGTAAATTAATGTGAACAGAGTTTAGTTAGTCTGTAACACACTGGGAAGTAATAACAAAGATCTGGTTTGTATGGTAGGTTCGTTTGGAACTGTATGTGTTTACATGTTTTAAAATTTCTTGTTATAACTCGTCTTTGCTTATTTCCTGTTCTGATTCAAGTGGATTGAAGATTAAAGAGTTTTAAATTATCTAGAGCATTGGAAACCTAGTTTTAGTCGAGAGAAACCTTTAGAGTTAAGGACAGATCAAACTGGGGGTCGCTGGAGATGGAACTGAAGAAGGAACGCAAGTAGAGAGGGGAACAGGAGGAAGAGGCGGCTCCACACAAGGTGGAGCCAGCTCTAGGGTGTGTGGAGGCGTCTCCACATGGAGTGGAGCCGGCTCCACACAAGGGGGAGGCGGCTCCCCATGTGGGGGAGGCGGCTCCTTCCCCTTTTGATGCAATTTTTGCCGAATTTTGCTTCTGGGCTGAGTTTTTGATCTGTTTGGGACATTCAGGGACTGTGCATGGGAACCTTAATGAGTTTTAAGGTTATATTAAAGCTCCAGAGGGTGTGGGAATGGTTAATAAACCACTTGGGGTTTATAGGTTGAACAATAATCAATTCTAAACAAAGTTGTAAACTGTTAGGGAATGCAAGTGGTTTAAGTTGCTTAATTTGTTGTAGAAACTTTTTGTAAATGTTTATCAAATTCTAATCATGTATTAATGGTATAAAATAAGCATTGTATTTTTACTATGCTTGTTAAGGAGTAATTGATGTTTAAATTTCAGCATCTATCGCATCAATTGTTGGACGGGTGATATAAGCATGATAATTTGTCAATGTTTATTATACTTGCTATGAAATTAATTGAGGTAGACATTTATTCATGTTCTCTCAATAATATGGATTCTGGGATAAATTGATAATCACATATACTGTTGTATTGCCAATTGCTGGATTATGGTTACGTAGTTTAAAAGCAGCATATTAAATTACATAATTTTTGTATGCTCTTTATGGAACAATTGAATGTCTAGTTTAATATTTTTATTTTAAATTGTTGGACTTATGGATCAGTTGATATTTACATGCATGGTCTGTGTTATCAACTACTGGATGGATGAAATGTATGCACCGGTATGGGACGGTGGCATACAAGGGGGATTAGCTCAAAAACCGCTAAGTCCTACCTATTCTGGGATTAAGGAAATGGATTGACTAAAGGTTAAATCCTATGGATTTGTAGTGTCAAGGCAACATATAGTTGAGCGGCACTACTATGAATTCTGGATGGATTTTAAATATATTTTTATGGTACCTCGATATGAGCTTGAGTCTCAGGATCGACGGTTAGGGAGCGTATATGCATTGGGATGCATAGCTGGCTATGATGGTTGGAGGTGTACCCTGTTAGGCTTAGGTACACATGCCCACTTTGTGTGCGTTTTGCATGTTGCCTCTATTCAGGTTGAGACCGGCCTGTAGTCCAGTGAGAGTCCTTTAGTGTAATTATATATACATACGGACTATTAGCTATTGATGAGTTGGTTAGAATGTATATGCGTATCGAGTCTCTGCTTGGATTGTAGTAGGATAGAACTTGCGCGTGGGCCTGACCCACTTCTATTTTTCAGGTACACGACAGTTCCAGGCTTAGACGTGTTCGTGCTGAGCAGAGGTCTCTATTCCCTCTTCCGACGATGTAGGGCTCTCTCCATAGTTTTATTTCTGGATGTTTATTACAGTTGTTTTATCTTCCGTTTGGATGTTTAATAGGGGTCCACTAAAGATGGATTCCCGAGTTGTAAACTGATGGAGTTTTGGAATTTGGGTTTGATGGAATTTAATAATTATAATATTTTGCGGATTCTATTTTTAGTTCTTTTCAGTTTTAATTTCATTTCTTAATTCATTTTATATTCCGTGTTCATTATAAAATATTAATTGTTAGATATTCCCTCGGGTTTGGGGTCTGGGCCTGATCAACCCGTGTCTCGGATCCGAGGGGTATCACAGGGGGGCCAGTGTACTAATATATATATATATATATATATATATATATATATATATATATTTTATGTGTATACTAATAAAAAAAATTTTTTTTTTTTGGGGGGCCAGGCCCCGTTGGCCTACCCCTCCCTCCGCCTCTAGTCTGGACAATAGGTCCAAATACTTCACATTTTGTTAATGACTTTAGCTCTGCCTGTATTGCTTCTTTCCATTTTGGCCAATCATTTCTACATCGATACTCTTCGACATTTTAAGGTTCAAGATCCTTATTATCACCTGCAATATCAAGAGCAACTGCAAAGGAGAATATATCGCTAATAATAACTGTATTTTTATCCCACAATTCTCTATAGTTTATTGAAATCTCATTATTTTCAGGTACCAGTGCCTCTTCAGGGGCTTGTGCCACTTCCAAGACATGCATATCTTCTTGGGCTACTTGCTTATAAAATTTAGATTGATCAATCATTTTCTTTGTTTCTTTTGCAAGTGTGACCTCTTCAGGAGTGTCAATTTCTTTATTTGATTTCTCTTATGCTTTCCTCTTCCGGGGAACAGTATTTTTTGCACCGACTGGTCTACCATGCTTCTGGCGTGTCTTAGATGTATTTGCAATAAGACCGACAGATTGTCCTATAGGGACATTAATTCTTTGTTGGAATGTTTGCAGCTGGTATATGTGATTTCATCACTTTCTTTGTGACAGTGAATGCATCGGGTAATTGATTTACAATAGTTTGTAAATGAATGATCCTTTGAACTTCTAGTTTACATTGATTTGTGCGAGGATCGAAATGAGATAAAGTCGAGACATTCCAATTAATAACTCATTGCTCTTCTGGCTTTTTCTTCCCCCCGCCTAATGGAGGGAAAACAGCCTCATCGAAATGACAGTCAGCAAACCGCGCCTTAAAAACATCATCTGTCATAGGTTCAAGATATCTAATAATAGATGGAGAATGAAAACCTACATAAATACCAAGTCGTCATTGATGACCCATTTTGGTGCGTTGTGGGGGTGCAATGGGAACATATACAGCGCAACCGAAAACTCGTAAGTGAGAGATATTTGGTTGTTGACCAATCACAAGTTGTAGTGGTGAAAAACTATGATATGCAGTTGGTCTAATGCGAACTAGTGATGCTGCATGTAATATCGCATGTCCCCAAGCAAAAACAGGTAGTTTAGCTCTCATAAGTAATGGTCTAGCTATTAACTGAAGACGTTTAATAAAAGATTCTGCAAGACCATTTTGGGTGTGAGTATGTGTAACAGGATATTCAATAAGAATGCCAATTGACATGCAATAGTCATCAAATGATTGAGATGTGAATTCCCCGGCATTATCAAGATGAATAGTCTGGATTAGATAATCCGGAAATTGTGTTTGTAATCGGATTATTTGAGCAAGGAGTCGAACAAATGTAACATTACGAGTAGAAAGTAAACTTACGTGTGACCACCGTGTTGATGCATCAATTAAGACCATAAAATATCGAAATGGTCCTCACGCTGGATGAATTAGTCCACATATATCCCCTTGACTTCGTTGTAAAAATGGTGGGCATTCAATGACGACCTTGGAAGGTGATGGTCTGACTATTAATTTACCTTGTGAACAAGCGGTACAAGGATAATCATTTGCTAAAAGAATCTTCTGGTTCTTTAGTGGATGATCATGTGAATTTTCAATGATTCGGCGCATCATTGTTGACCCAGGATGACCAAGGCGATCATGCCAAAGTATAAAAATATTTGGGTCAGAGCATTTCTGGTGCATCACTGCATATGACTCAATTGCTCTTATATTTGTATAATATAATCCAGAAGATAAATCAGGGAGTTTTTCTAATACATGCTTCTGGCATGTAATACAGAGATATTCAATACCCCCTTCATTTATAGTCTTAATATGATAACCGTTGAGACGTATATCTTTAAAACTTAATAAATTTCTTTTGGATATGGTAGAGTATAGAGTATCACCAATATTCAATTTTGTTCCACATGGTAACACAATGATAGCTCTTTCGGAGCCTTCAATTAGATCTGCTGGACCTGATATTGTATTGACACGAGCTTCAACTAATGTTATACGCGAAAAATATTTTATATCTCGGAGTATAGTGTGTGTTGTTGCACTGTCTGCCAGACATATATCTTCACCATTTATCTTGGGTACAGTTAATGCCTTAGTTAGATCCATACTTTTTCATACACAAAATATATATTTCATTGCTTCAAACTTGAAATACAAACTAGATTTACATACAAAATAGCCAAAAAAAAATATATACTGGTACAACCTAGATAGAGACATATTGATACAATGAAAAGTTAAACATACTGAGACAGATAAGATAAAACACACAAGGGATAACATGATAAAGAAGGACACATTAATTGGTATAGACATTTCCATCACCAATCAAATGATTAATATTACTACTAAGATCAACAAAGAAGTCAGAAATATCAAGGTGAGTAATATCAACTGATAAGTCGTCATCCACAAAATTCATTTCAATTTCCTTCCCTTTTCCCTTATCATTCATTGAGGCACGGTAAATATCAACTAGATGTTTGGGCGTACAACAGGTACGCGATCAATGACCTTTCATTCCACATCTATAGCAAGGCTTATCATCATATATCTCAGGAGCTTTGTTTTGCAAAGCTTTTCCTTTTGCCTGCTTGGTCGCATTTGAATTCCACTTCTGGTGGGATGGTGTGGAGTTCCTTCTGGGAGTCAATGAGGAATTATGACCACCACGATTATTATAATTATTTCTATTGCGACCATATCCACGACCACCACTACGTCCGCGTCCGCATCCACGTCTACGTCCATGGTCGTGAAATGAGGACACATTCGTTTCTGGGAATGGTACAGATCCAGTTGGATAGGACTGGTGGATTTTAATCAAACACTCATTATTTTGTTCAGCCACTAACAAACAAGAAATCAGTTCAGAATATTTAGTAAATCTGCCCTCTATATTGCTGCTGCAGGAGCACATTTGAGGCATGAAATGTGGAGTATGTTTTTTCTAACATATCATCATCAGTAATTTTTTCTCCATATAATTTTAATTGTGAGTTGATTTTAAACAAGGCTGAATTGTACTCACTTACACTTTTAAAATCCTACAATCGCAGGTGGATCCAGTCATAGCGAGCTTTTGGAAGGATCACAGTTTTTTGATGCTCATATCATTCTTTCAAAATTTTTCACAGTGTAAGTGGATCCTTAACCGTGAGATACTCTGTTTTTAATTCCTCATGGAGGTGATAGCGAAGAAAAATCATAGTTTTCGCGCGGTCCTGCAGGGACGCATTATTTTCTTCCTTAATTAGATCTCGGCGCCAAGGATCCATGATAAGTAGTTTTTGCCCGAGATATCAAGTGCCACAAATTCAAGCTTGGTAAGATTTGACATTATGAACTATAAATGATAAAATAACATAATTAGAATTATTTCGCAAAAAGAATAATCAATTTGAGATTATAAAAATACTGCAGTCACTTTAATATGATTTGTCAGTAAATACACTATACAATGTCAAAAAGTTAATCATGTGTTTTAAGTAAACAAAACAATGGCAAAAAGACAAAATATGTTTACACTAAAAGACACATATAATTTATATTTCTACGTTTTCGGGCTCGCAAAGAGTACCAAATATTCTGAAACTTCAAGCTCACAAAGAGTATATTAATATATGCAAAACTTCAAGTTTGTAAATTAAATAATTTAGCATTTGCGAGACTTCGAGCTCAGCAATTTACTTTTCTATAAAGAATAGACAAAAATATTCTAATATAAATAAATAAATAAGTATTTGTGAGACTGTAGGCTCAATAATTTTAATTATATGTGAGACTTGAACAACAAAGTTTAATATAAATACTCATTTTTCTTACCCTTTGAAGTGAGAAAGAAAAATAGAATTTTCTTCTTAGTTGACAGAGTCCCATGCTTACCCTTTGAAGTGAGAAAGAAAAATAGAATTTTCTTCTCAGTTGACAGAGTCCCATGCTGATAACGCGTAATAAATATATGTATTTATATATATATATAGAGAGAGAGAGAGAGAGAGAGAGAGAGAGAGAGAGTACGATAGGAGAGAGGAAGTAAAAAGCTTTTTATTAAGCACATCTCAAAGTAGTAGATACATGGCTTTTTATAGGCTAAAAAATGTGGCTTTCGCAATAGGCTGCTGTAAGCTTCCTTCGTATGCCAACCAAAGATGCCCCCATGGATTGCATAATCAATTGTTTAATTACATGTGGACCTCACATAAAACACGTACATACATAACAACCTACATATATTTATTTTAGCTTTAGTTTGAGGCATTAATCATTTTATTTTTCAGATATTTGGGATCCACCAGATATTTTTCAGATATTTGGGTGCCTACCCCGTGAGCCACACATTTTGCCACACAAAATTTGAATAACTTCTTTAAAAACTCCCATCATTTTGCCACACAAAATTTGAACTAACTTAATCAAATCTAATTTTAAAGTATTATTAATTTCATAATTATTTGCCTGGGCCCTGCATTGTATTTTTACCTCTTATTTTAATTAAATATTTTCTAATCTATTTATAAAATCAACTCAACATGTAACAATTTATTTATTTTAACTATTTAACATTCATTAAATTAATTACTAAAAGTTTATAATTTATATTTTGATTAGGTAAAGATTAACATATTTAATAGAATGTTCGCGCCCGAGCCTCTTATACCATTAGATTAACTAATGGTCATTCATAAAATAATTCCTTATTCCTAGACTTTAATTTAAAATGAAAAAAATTGATTCCAAACTAACGATTTCATGCAATCCAATCTAACTTTATTCTGTGTTGAATATAAAATAAAAATCATAATATATTTGATTATAAGATAATGTCTTAATAATATGCATGACAGAAGAAGGATACTGTAAAATATAAATACAATAGTTTAGCTGGCTTTCCATTACAGGGAAGTTGTCCCCATACCAAAAGCAAATTGATTGTCGGGGACCAAACTTTTTGCAGTAGGTACAACAGCAATTGCTTCTCAAATTTCCACTTTCTCACTCCTCAGCCGTTACACTTCATTTTTCTACATCTCTCGACGTCGATATATATATATATATATAATTATATGCTCACATATAACATTATCTTGAGCAATCCAAGAGGTTGGATCTCTGCAACAAGTAGTCTTTGGAATTATTCGAAACTGTGATCCAACCGAAGAAGCAAACCGAAAGCCCTAATTATGCCTTCCCTCAACTTCTTCTCTGTTTTTGCTTCTCTCTGACGCTACTCTACATTCTCTCAGCTCGGTGTGTTTAAATCTCCGTGTGAACAGTTATTTTTCTGATCGATACAGTGCTCAATTTCAGTTCTAATGGCAGAGAATTCATCAAACCCAGAGGTGTATTTACATGGCGACCTAGATTTGAAGATTGTGAAAGCTCGTAGTTTACCCAACATGGACATGGTGTCCGAACACTTCCGCCGTTGCTTCACCACGTGCGACGCCTGCCGCGTACCTTCCAAATCTGAGTCCAAGCGAATCGAACACCACAAGAAAATCATCACCACCGACGCTTACGTCAAGGTCTGCGTCCCGCAAGCCACCATCGCCCGGACCCGTATCCTCCGCAACTCGCAAAACCCTGAGTGGAACGAACACTTCCACGTTGCATTGGCTCACCCGGTGGTGGAAATGGAGTTTCAGGTGAAGGATGATGACGTGTTCGGCGCTGAGATCATCGGATTTGTCCGTATACCGGCGGTGGATATCGCCACCGGCAAACACATCAGCGATTGGTTTCCGGTTCTTGCTTCAAACGGTACACCGCCGAAGCCGGATACGGCGTTGTACCTCGAAATGAAATTCACGACGTGTGATGAGAATCCGCGGTACAAGATGGGCATTGCCGGCGATCCGGAGAAAAGGGGCGTCCTGAACACCTATTTTCCGCTGAGAAAAGGCAGCTCTGTGACTTTGTACCAAGATGCTCACATTAGCCCTAATGTTAAGCTTCCTGAGATTGAATTGGATGGAGGAAGAGTCTACCAACACGAGAAATGTTGGGAAGATATATGCGATGCTATCTCAGAGGCCCATCATATGATATATATAGTTGGTTGGTCAATCTACCATAAGGTGAAGCTTATCAGAGAGCCAACTCGGCCGTTGCCGCGAGGCGGGGAATTGAATCTCGGTGACTTGCTCAAGTACAAGTCTCAAGAAGGAGTTCGAGTTTTGCTGTTGGTTTGGGATGACAAGACTTCACATGATAAGTTGCTTTTTAAAAAGGTGAGAATTTTCTAACACACCATTTTTTTTTTCTTTCCTTTTTTGACATTGTCTCTTTCGTGCATATCTGCTTTGTTTCTTTTCCTGTCAAATTCTCAGCATTGAAGAAAATATGCCAAGAGGGTTTCAATTTACTTGGTTATCATCTGAACAATTAATGAGATACTACGCATAGAGTATTCACCTATTATTTGAGTTTTACAGTAATCTTGTGGATGCAGTGTTGATTGCTATATAGTTCTGGATATTTTAACAATTTTTGGTTCTGTGCAAACCTGTTTGTTGAAAATGTGATTGTAGGAATGTTCAATTTGCATTGCAATCATACCAATGAAATTTATATTTGGTTTTTATTTCTATTTAAAGTAAAATGAAATTACTTCCTGCCAATCACAAAATTGCAAGGGCCAGACTTGGATTGCAATTTTTTTTATGAACTATCTTTGTATGGACCCTTCTAAATATGTGAAGTAGTTTATTGGACACATGACATCTTGGTATGTGTATGGGATATGTGTTTGGCATGTTTGTGTAGAGGACAATATCCGAAAAGTCGACACCATAAAATTTGTAAATAAAAACCGGGCATTATATTTCTTTTGTTACATTAATACTTCAAAACAAATGAGGTTTATAAGTTAAACACTTTATGATGAATAAAATTCCATTTTGTTGTAAAAATAAAGTAATAATATTAGAAAGCATGAATATTTAGATGTGCCCACATGTCCCTGTATTTGTGATTTTGGTTTGTTCTTAGGCACTTATACACATACCTGTCACGTATCTTGACTCTGACTAACAAAATTATGAAGCAGTTATCAGATGGAATATTTTAAAATATCAAGCTTATGGAATATTTTTATGTTAGCAATTTACGTAGCGACTGTTGTATTGATTACTTGCACAGGATAAATAGTGCAATGCTTTTCTATCAGAATAGTCCTACCATTACTGAAATGACTGTCAGATTCTAACAGGAACGTTTTGGGATAAGGCTCAGATGACAACAAAAGTTACATAACAAGAAAACTCAAATTGTGTTCCAACAAATTGTGTTTACCTTTGAAAGATGAGCCACCATTGACACAATTCTTTTTCATGATAACTGGTTATTAGTGTAACTCTGGAAAATGACGAACCTTATTGTCATTTTGTTTCAATGTTGCGATATTCGCACTCCACACTTGATTTTTATAATAGCAATTTTTGATACAGCTATGAAGTGCGAAAGTTTTTTTGAAGGACAATTGGGTCATTTCCTTTTTAAAGAAAAAGTAAGACCTGAAATGACACCTTTATAACAGGCTTATAGTCCCTAATGATATGTAATTATACTCTGTTCAGTTAACTCCCCACCAACATCCCCTTTTCCCCTCTTTTCATCCAAGGAAAAAAGAGAAGGTAAAGGAAACGTTACATTCAGAAATTTTGTGTACATATGATATGGTGGCGATCACCACTTCAATCGTGACATTCCATGATTTTGGTTCTTAAAATCATTCAAAAAAAATTTAGTCAATGTAACTTTCATGCTTAAGGGGTTACATTACCGATTTCTTTAATTTTGCACTTATGGTGTTCCTGTGCCAGTTACTAAGAAATTATTGTGGATTTGTACTTCAAGTAATTTTGAAATGGTGTATGATGCAGCAAGGACTAATGCAGACACATGATGAAGAGACCAGAAAGTTTTTCAAGCATTCATCTGTAACTTGTGTACTGTCACCTCGTTACGCCAGCAGTAAGCTTAGCTTTATCAAACGACAGGCAGGCTTGTTTTTACTCCCTCAGTAACATTCTTGTGCTAGAGATATATTACTCATCTTTGTTATAATGGACTATTGTTCCCTTTTTAAATTGGTTTGCTCTTTTTGTCTGAATTGTACAATGTCTGTATCAGGTTATGAACAAGGTTTTATGATACTGAAAATGAAGGGCCTGTTTGGCATTGTTGATCTAATGTAAAACATGCTTCTATTAGTAGAGCTGCCATAAAAAATTTCTCAGTAAAAAGCTTGTGTAAAATACTTTTCATAATTAAAGCACTTTTAGTAACAATATTGTTTAAAAAACTTCTACTACTAATTTTACAACAATGCTCTTTAATGGAGTGTTCTTATATTTGAAAAGAAGGGAGAATTTTTTTTAAGAAAAATAGTTATATAAAATATAATTACTCTACTCAGAATGTAGTTTTCAAAGTTAGAAATTTTAGTTTCATTCAAAAGGTGTAGTAAGCTAAAATCCCTACTATTTAAAAGTAGTTTTTTTTGTTTAACAAACACATTTAAAAGCAAAATTTTAAAATAAAAGCACTTTTAAGTGGTTCAACAGAAATCCCAAACAGGCTTGAAACATGGATACTTCTACAGGAGACTTGTATTCAGTATACTGATACTAATCAAATATTCGTGATTATGTGTCGAATAGTTCTTAAATACTTCTTAAATACTTCTTAAATATATCCATATTCATTTTCAATTTTTGAGCACACATCATATGCTCCTTGATAATTAGGTACATGTCTCCGACATATCTTGAACATTGACATGAGGCATTTCTAATGCAGCATAATAGTTAATAACTTTAATTATTGTTAGGAAACTATAACTAGGGTTTCAAATAGTAGGAGTATTTTTTAGAGAAGAAGACTTGTGATTTAGTAAGGTTAAATTGTATCAAATTCGGTCTTAAGTCAACATCCATGCAATTTGATCGTGGGTTGTCTTGTTAGAGCTTTATTATGAGTTAGAATGTTAAAATATTAGTTTATCTTTTAGTATGTATATATATGCTAAACAGTGATTTTTTGTATGTATAGCAACAAGAAACAAAGCCTTTCCCCAGCTACTTGTATCTAAGTTTATAGCCTCAGTCATGCCACATGAATCTTATTTTTAATATTTATGTATACATAAATATATATGTGTATAAAAACAAAGTCGTGTCCTTACCCCACCTGTTTATTACTATTTTAGAATTTGTTGTATAATTGTCTGTATCATGTTTGTTATTAATTCTTTAATCAAAGAATTTGTTCTGTGTGTGTGCGCAAAGGCGGATCCAGGATTTCTAGGTGGGGTGGGCTAACATTAAACATGAATACTAAGGAAGGAATTGGTTTGGGCCTTTATTTTAGTATGGTGGCTGAGTTTACTTGGGCTTCATTGGGTTTTTGGGGTGGGCTAATACTATTAAATTTTTTTTTTTTTGGGCTGGGCTAATATAATTAGTATAGTAAAAAAAAAAAATTTTTTTTTTTGGGGTGGGCTACAGCCCACCTTTGCCTACCCGTGTCCGCCCCTGTGTGTGTGTGATTGATGAATAGGAAAACATACTGGGTTACCGTAATGGTTTGGTGTTGAGTGATGATGATTTGCGTCATTTAACCAGCTCAAACCAGACATAGAGATGTTTATGCATATAATCTCTTTTTGCATATTAAGGATGTCATGTTTGTGTTGATTATGATTAAAAGAAGAATCCAAGCTGTTATGCAATCACTTATTTTCACAATGATCAATGTAAACAAATAAGATTCCTTCAGTGGTTTCCGATTCATCAATCATCTATACAATGTTGAGAACTTTTTGACTTTATGTAAATATACATGTGTTATTTTCAACTGAAGTTTCTTTTTGATAATTTTGTCCAGGTTGTTGGAAACGTCTTTACACACCATCAGAAATGTGTGCTTGTAGATACACAAGCATGGGGTAATAATAGAAAGATTACAGCTTTTTTAGGTGGCATTGATCTCTGTGATGGTCGCTATGATACACCTGAGCATCGATTATTTCGTGATCTTGACACTGTATTTAATGATGATTTTCATAACCCTACATTTCCTGTGAGTGGCGTATCCATTTTGATCCCCTATTTTTAGCAAGAGCAATTTTTTGAACATACTGTTTTTATTTATACATAGATTGACATAAGAATATATTCAGAATAGGTGCTGCTAATATTTTCCATATCATGTGTTGGACTCTGAAGTGAATTGGTCTTGTGCTAGTGTATATTTTTCTATGGTGGTTCATATGTAACCTTAACCGGCACCATCATCTACTCTTAAGGATATCTCCCTTTTGTCTTAGAACTAATTTCACTTGTGAATTTGCTTAGGTTTTAAATCCATAATGGTTTTTTTTTTTTTTTTTTTCCTGAATTTGCAACACAGGAAGTCCTTCCTGACCCATAAACACCTGCAACCTCATCTCTGATCTCCCTCTATCAGGGGTACCTGAACTAGATAGTCGGTGGTTGCTTATATTTAGAATTTCTAACATTTTGCGAATCCTTTTCTTAAATAGTAGTCAGTCATGATGAATCTATCAGCTTACTGTTTAAAATGTCTGTCCATAAAGGGCTCCAAAGATAAGATTCTATGTTATGCACATGTCAATTTGATTTGTTGAAAAAGAAAATATTACTGAGTGGTCTGTATTGCCAAAGATGAAATGACAAGTTTTGGGAAAGAGTTTTGCACGCCATGAAATTGCATCATAATTTTTTTTTTGATAAGTAGAAATTTGAAATTAGATGATTTAAATCAGATACTGATCTATGAGGCCTTGTTCACATAACGCTGTCTAAGAGAGTTGTTATTGACATGTCCTTGGAAGTCACTTTTTACTTGATTTACTTGTTGCTTGTACCACTGGAAGTGGGTATACCATTTTGAGATATCAAAACTTTTGTTATCGTATGTCATATCTAATTTGATGTTTCTATGTTGTATTATGTGGTCCACAATGGTAAAAACAATGTGTTTCTTGACTGTATTGTGAGTTAGTAAACTGACTTGCTACATTTTTATTCTTTTCCAAATATATTTATACTATACAAGTGGTTTTGACGCTTTTGTGCATGTTTGTTCTTTTTTATTTTTCTTCCTTGCTTATATTAGGCAGTAACCAAGGCTCCAAGGCAACCATGGCATGACTGGCACTGCAGAATTGAAGGTCCTGCTGCATATGATGTCCTCATAAACTTTGAACAGCGTTGGAGAAAAGCAACAAAGTGGTCAGAGTTTCTTAGGAGGAGAACTCACTGGCATGATGATTCTTTGATAAAAATCGAACGTATCTCATGGATACTTAGTCCTACCTTTGATGTTTCAAAGAAAGGAGTTTACAGATCTATTCCACAGGATGATCCCCAATTATATGTCTCCACTGAAGATAATCCTGAAAACTGGCATGTTCAGGTTTTATCTTGCTCTCTCTCTCTCTCTTGTAAATTCCCCTGTTTTGCCAAAACTTAACAAGTGTCTGTGATTTTTTACAGTTTTTTCGGTCCATCGATTCAGGATCTCTGAAGGGCTTTCCCAAAACTGTTGAACTTTCTGTGGCCCAGGTTGATTAAATAACTCTTTTTATTTTCATTTTATCTTTTTCTGTGTGTATGTATCTGTACGTGCCTGTTCATTTTTTTTCATAGATATCACAGTTTTTATGGGATGAAATTGCCAATGCTTCAAAGTAATAACAGGACTTTTGATTGATACTTTAGTTTATCTTAATACTCTGTATTTCTTTGTACGCTGATGTTCCCTGTTTTCTATGACATGGTTTTACTGTAGAACCTTGTCTGTTCAAAAAATTTGGTGATAGACCAAAGCATTCAAACAGCATATATCCAGGCAATCAGATCTGCTCAACATTTCATATACATTGAGAACCAGTATTTTATCGGATCATCATATGCATGGCCAGACTATAAATATGCAGGTCAGAATCACATTTTCCCAATATAATGCCACATTTGCATTACTCAAAATTTACAATAAATTATTGTGCAAGAGGAACATCGACTGCTTACAAATTAATGCATGCTTGGGATCTCTGTTTGAAGAAATTTATGTATGGAACTAGAATTTTCTGTTTTTGTTCAACTTATGGTTGGACCAGAAAATGACTCTGTTCCATGATTTTTCTTTTTCTTCATGTTTTTGTAATTAGACCAATGCTTATTCAACTGCATATAGCTCCCTAAGCTCAATAAAGATCATCACATAAAAGTTACAGCTTGTTCCTTTTTCCTTGTATTTTTGCCTTTTTGCCTTTTTCTCTTTTCTTTTTCCATTTGGGATCGCTGAGAACTTTTCTGTGCACCTATTTTTAGAAGAAACTATTCCAATAATGCTTTTTCCCCCCTTTTTTGGGGTTTTCTGAGGTTAATTGCTTCCATGTTGTGATTAGGTGCTGATAATCTTGTCCCAATGGAGTTGGCACTCAAAATCGCTAGTAAAATTAGAGCTAAGGAGAGATTTGCTGTGTATGTTGTCTTACCAATGTGGCCTGAGGGAGATCCAGCTTCTGCTCCCATGCAAGAAATTCTCTTTTGGCAGGTAGCGTGGCTTTGTATTCATGAACTAAATAAATTTGAAACAAATTAATTTTTTCAGAATCATATAGATATGGGTTTTTTTTATTATTATTATTTATTTATTTATAATAAATGATAACTCCGAATAGACATTTTACTTGTCTTGTTATTCACCCTCTCTCTAGCAGCTTATAATGTTCTCTTTACCACTTTTAACAAACAGTGCTGTGTTAATTGATACTCATCTGCTCAATTGGCTTAATTTGTTTATATTGATCACAAGTCCATAACATAGACAAGACATGAAGTTATTGTTAATGACTTGACTGTTGGCTTTTTTAACAGGGCCAAACGATACGAATGATGTATTCAGTTGTTGCACGGGAGCTTAAAGCGTTGCAGCTTGAGGACTCTCATCCTCTGGACTACCTAAATTTTTATTGCCTCGGAAATCGAGAAAAATTGCCTGAGGAAAAGTTGAGCGAAGTTAATCAATCTTCTGCTAATGTAAATCTCTTTTCAATGGATTTTAGTCTATTACAATATGAAATACAAACAGAACTAAAATATAAATATAAATCTCTTTTCAGTATATAATGCCCTTTTAAAAATATAAATCCGTAACAGCAGTAATGCTCTAACAAAGGAATCAGTAATAATATGTTCTTTTTTTCATATTCTTATTCCACTTGTTTTAGGTTTAATATGATTATTATTTATTTCCTTTGTAGCTTAAGGCATGGCACAATTTACTCTGTAAATAGTAAAAGTATATATATATATACATATATATATTATTTATGCACTTAGTTGTTTGTAGTTTATTATATCTTTGCTGGTCGTAAAAGCGCAAAAGAAGAGAGGTCATCGACTTTTCTTGTTGATATCTAATATTGGCAAACATCACATTATCTTATTTCATGCCGAACTCCCATAAGGTGCTGAGTTTAGTTATGTACTCCCTTAACCAAGGTATTTGAGGCCTGTAGATCCTTTATATTTGATTCTGCCACTATTTTGAAAGGGACATATAATTATTCAGTGGCTAAAGTAGTTGGGAAATTAACCCAAATACAGTTTTTGACATAATATTTTACAATAAGAAGCCACATCTGTATATTTTCTTTCTTCCACTCTGTGGCCATTTCTGCAGATGGAAAGGTATTTTCTATAGATATATGTTACAGATTGTTTATATTAACTTTCCTTTTATTGTGTAAATGTTGTTAATATATACATGTCCATGTTACTGGGTTCTTACCATTCATGCTATGGATGCAGTATAGTACTATAATCATAATTTTCTATGCGTGGAAGAGTTTATATATGTAGCATGAGTTCTGATTATAATATGCTAGAAATTTATGCAGTTGGTATTAACTCAAATGTACTACCAGGTCTCAAATTCATGGAAATTTCAGCGGTTTATGATTTACGTGCATGCTAAAGGAATGATAGTTGATGATGAATACACAATAATAGGATCAGCCAACATCAATCAAAGATCTTTAGCTGGTACAAAAGACACAGAAATAGCAATGGGTGCGTATCAGCCCCATCATACTTGGGCTGAAAAGAAGCGACACCCACGTGGCCAGGTTTGGTTACTTGTTCTCCTATGGCATGTCTTCTTTGTTTTAGAAAATTTGGAATTTTGTTTGGCTTCTTTATTTACTGTTGACCACGAAGAGGTTATTGATACAAATGTTCACCCTTTTAAATTTGTAATTCGCAAAAAACCATAGTGGGTTATAATTGACGTTTTCTTAAACATTTTTCTCTACCTTGCATGGCTAGAATTGGCAATGCATGTTAATGGAGCCCATAGTTTTTCCTATTTTTTTTCTCTTTTAAATTAAGAAAGCCTACTAGAATTCCTGTTAGGAAGTCCAGACTTGTAACAAAACCGATTTCTGCACTCGTTGAGGATTATAATTTGCTTACTATAGTTGAAATATGCTTTTATACAATTTTCTATCTTAACTTCAGATCATTTATTAAGATAGTACATTTGAAATAACTGTTTTAACTAGTACATGTTTTCTATAACACCATTCTTTAATTTTGATATGATTAGAAACCTCAAATAATCATTGACTTGTATTCTACTGAAAAGTTTCCTTTTTTATGTGGTAAGGATTTACATTCGTGTGTGCAGATCTATGGATATAGAAGGTCATTGTGGGCTGAGAACCTTGGGATGGTAGACGAATGCTACGAGGAGCCAGGGTCACTGGAGTGTGTGAAGAGAGTAAATGAGGTGGCTGTTAAGAACTGGGAGAGATACACAACCGAGACTTTTACACCATTGGAAGGCCATCTTCTCAAGTACCCTATACAGGTAGATGCTGATGGGAAGGTAGGTCCTTCACCTGGACACGAGACTTTCCCAGATGTTGGAGGTAAAGTACTAGGATCTTATTCGACCACTATTCCTGATATTTTAACAACATAGTCTCCCACCCGTTTTGTGTTCACAAGTGATGGACTTGGTCAAAATGGTTTTGTGTATCTTTCAGGTAATTAGGATTTTTTTGTTGTTTTGTTATTTTGGATTGTATGCCAGTTTGTACATATGTAATAAAATTACAATAATATTGAAATCGAATGATATTTTGTAAGTATTTTGGTTTGAATTGATACATGTTTCATATGTGCTTCTCAACTGGGAGAAGTGGTTGCACCAGTCTGTAGACCATTTGCGGATAAAAAAAAATATGCCGGTGTAAATCTATACATGTTTAATTAGCTCAATCACTGTGTAGTAAAGTAAGCGCATATTTCATTATAGTCTAGAGATCACTCCAAGTTCAATAACTGTGAAGCTTCTGGACTTATTTCATTAGCTTCTCTCCTTTCCAATTGCATTTGTACTCACACACACACATGCCTCCGTCAAAGTTTGAACTCTTTACCTTCTTTTAAAAGTAGGGGTTTGGTACTGTTAGGTCCGTTGATTCCTTTCCAATTGCATTTCTAAGCGGTTACTACTCCAACTAGCAGACTTGGCTGGATATGGAACCAAATTTTTTTTTTTTTTTAATTTAATGCGGATAATAGAGTTAGTAATATATATATATATAGATATAGATATAGATATATATTTAATAGCATGTGAATTGACCGAGACTATGATTTTAAATAAATAAAATATTTATACATAAATGCAGCAGCAAGACTTGGATCTGGGTCGGTTGCATAACATCATTATCATATGAAGTCTTTCTGGCCAATGGTCCGGAAGGATCCGGGAAACCCGATTAAGCAAGCTATCCGGCCCAACTTAATAACTAAAAAGAACGTGAAATCGGATTTCTCAACCCCCAAAACGCTCAATTTGCAAAGCCTTTATTCCTCTGCTCGCAGTCTAGGGTTCTTTCTGGCCAATGGGGATGTGGTAATTAGAACAAGAAATTAACTTTGGAAGGCGAGAGTAATTTTTTGACGTTCCGAGATGTATAGTAGGAACACTTAAATTGTATTTAGTGATATACAATAATCATTAAGCCATACATTATACTAATTAGAAGAATGATGGAGTCGAGTCATCAATCATCATTATAGCAAAAAGAAAGGAGCTTGCAATGGCAAATACTGCTTGTTAATCTTGTTGTTAACTTAATTCTTGTTAATTTTCTTGTCTTGGTTCCTTACATACCCAAAATTGAAACTTTTGGAGTTAAAGTGGCCGCGTGCAATGAACGTGACACATGTGCTGATTGTTTTCATAAAAATATCTTATGAATGCAACAAACGCCTTTAGTTTCACGTTGGTAAAATCAACTGTAAAGGAAAAAATGGATTGTGTAATGGTATTTTTGTCAAAACAATCCGCCCATGTGTCACGTGTGTTGCACCTAATGAAAATTTCAGATTTTTTTTTTTTTGGGTGTAAATTGAAGGTGTTTGTTGCCACAAAGAAGTGTAGAGGGGGGATTTAGCAAACTTTTTTATAGAACAGGGGTAATCAGGGTTTAGTGCAATTTGACCTAAAAAAATATATTAGTATGAATTTTTATTTTGTATTGTTGCAGAGAGACATAATAGGAGGTGAGGATTGGGTGTTGAAATACATATATGGTGAATCTTGGATAGTGGTGGTTAAAAAATGCTTATTGGGGATGTGGTATAAGGATTGGGTAATGATTGATGAGACACATTGCATAAACATTTAAATTGTAGTGATATACAATAATCATTGAGTCATCATTATACTAGTTAAAAGAATGATTCAATCATCAATCATCATTATAAGAAAAGAACGGAGCTTGTTAGCTTAATCCTTGTGAACTTTCATGATGCGGTTCCTTGTAGGAGGGATGGAAGGCTGGAAAGAAGAAAAATTAGGAGTGATGGAAAAGTATCTCTAGAGAAAGGAAAAGGGTGTTAATAAAAGGCCTTACATATCAAGAAATTTTCCTTTTTTCTCTTTTGAAAAACGAAAATGTGCACAAGTATGTGGAGCCCTCACCTACCTTTCGTCCCACACTATGAAAGGAAAGTTTTTGGTGGCTCAGTCTTTTCTTCTCCACAATAAAAAGTATATCCATCTCTCCGCGTTTATCTCTTCTATTTCCTTCCACTCTTCTCATTCCAAGTGGTCCATCAGTTATAGAGTTAAATACATTGAAATAATATATTTTATTTTCGTTTGTATTTAAGGTCATAAGTAAATAAGTTCATAAGTAGAAGTCAATTAATGTGCTATTATATTGCTACTATTCTGTACTAACTCTACCTAGATTAGCTTTGGTCTTCTTCTTCCTTTAGTTTTACGGACTATTACAATTTCGTAACTAAAACACTAAAAATATCTTTTAATACAAATCACTTTAATCGATTTTTTTATTTTTTTTTATTTTTAATCTTATCACATATCCATCTAAACATACGCATTTCTGTCATACTCATTTAATACTAAATGGACTCATTAAAATAAAGAATGACAAAACTTTTCCGTTATATCTTGAAGTTTGAATTTTTTGATTTTCATTTTTTTTTTTCTAATTGGTGAATTATTTGCACCCAAGAGTTTGAAAATCTATTGAAAAGTGAAAACTTTCATAAAAGGCATATTGTTTTTAGTGAAAAAATATTTTTATAACAGGCATGTTCTTTCTTTTCCATATCCAAACTATTTTAACTGATTTTTTCTTGTTTTATCTTTAGTTTGTGCTATTTCAACTATTTTTCGAATGTGATCATTTTAAATTTTTAAATTTTTTTAATCTTATTACAAATTTATCTCAACAATCATTTTTCTACCACAGGCACTTGATACCAACCGAACATGGAAAGAATGACAACTTTTGTATGAGATCTTGTAGTTTGTATTTTCTTACTCATATAATATTTTTTTAAAAGAGAAATACCAAGTGCATCACAGTCTCAGTTTTTTAATATGTGAGTTGCACCACGTGAGATTCACAAAATCTAAATAGATGAGATTATACAGTTGTGACTGCACTTAACATTTATCCTTAAATAAACTTCATAACTGGACAATCTTAACTTTTTTATATGTGAGCACCGCAGTTTCGCTGTAAATCGATTCACAAGATTCACGATATGAGAATGTGTAGTCGTGACTAGGGATGGCAATAGGGCGGGGTGGGGCGGGGATCTCATTTCTCATCCCCATCCCCGGTCAAATTTTTTACCCTCATCCCCGCCCTCATACCCATTTAATTTTCAACCCCCTCCCCCATCCTCGTCCCGCCCCGCCACATTAGCCCCCATCCCCGCCCTGCCTCACCCCGCATAACATTTTTTAAATTCTAATTCACCTTCAACAAAATCAACACGGTCATAATATTTTTCAACCTAATAATTTAATAAATCTTTAGCACAATTATAACAATTTAAAACATGATCAGATGTTTGATACACAACGACTATGTTTTTTCTTTATGCTGCGAGGGAATTGATATAGGGTTTCACTTTCAGAAGTGAATATATTATATATATAGTTATGTAATTTAGTAATATTTTATAACATATAAGAGCAATTTGGTTAAAATGCACTATAAATGGGGCGGGGCGGGGTTACCCTCCCCCGTCCCCTCCCCATTTCCTGTCGGGGTTTCAAATACAATAAACGGGTCCCCAAACCCACCATAAACAAGGCGGGATGGGGCGGAAACCCGCTGGGTATGGAGATTTGTCATCCCTAGTCGTGACTGCATTTGACATTTCTCTTTAAATAAATTTTACAACCGTATAATTTTAACTTTTTTATATGTGGGCACTGCAGTTTTGTTATAAGACCGACTCACAAGATCCAAAAGATGGGATTGTGAAATTATGACTGCACTTGACATTTCTCTTTCAACAAACTTTACAACCGCACCATCTTAGCTTTTTGATATGTGACCTCCACCGTCAGATTTACATATATGTGGGCAGTGGGCTCCACTGTAGGACTCACACCATCTAAGAACTAAATTTGTACAATTCGGTTGTCCATAGAGCAACTCTCATTTGAAGCATTGAAGTACCAAAGTTCCAACAAAATGAAACATGGGATTTGGTGGCTGGTGAATTGAATTGGCTACTAGGTATGTGTTTGGTAGATTTGGGGGCTACCCAGTTAACCATTTATAGTGAATGGCACTAAGAAGTGAAAATGATGCAACAAGTTCCAGATTATATATTGGCACTTTACTTCATTATTCATGCTAAAACCCATGTTCACAGCAAGCAGCTAAATTGATAAGTAAATGCCAAATAGGGCACAAGTACACACACACAAAGGCTTCTTAGTTTATACAACCAACCATGAATGTCCCGAACAAGGGTCTGTAAACTATAATATTGGCATCCTTATGACATTTACGAAGTCCGGTATGAAGATAAAAGTAGACTCGATAGCTTAAAATTTGAGCAGTTGAATCTGCAGCGTGAATCACCTAAAAAAACCAAATGAGGTGGTCAACATGGGAGAGGAGTTGCAAAAATTGGGAATATAAGTGGAGGCTCGACGTTTGGGTTCGTCCATGGACTCGATGGCTGGTCAGTTGGCGGCGCCTTGTAGATGCAGTCTTGGAATTGTTGCCTTACTTGTTGTCTGGTTCTCATGACGATGGTCATGTCTTAGCTTGTTGTCTGGTTCTCATGACGATGGTCATGTCTTAGCTTAATGATAAGTTTCTTTGAAGTAGTCTGGTTTGATGTGTATGTGGTTTTTAATGCTTTTGTTATGTTCGTATTTTGTTTGTTGGGTGATCCTGCTTTTTGTTTGTCAGGACAAAAAAAAATAAAAATTAAATAAAAATAAATAAAAATAAAAATTTCATTGCAGAAGAGCCAGTTGTGTTTTTTATTTATAAAAAGGAAACAAAGAAAGTGGCTGCCTTTGGGCCCACATTGGACTGTCTATGAATCTATTAACCATGGCCATCAATATAAATATCTAAATGGGCTGGCCCACCATTGGCCAGCACCATACCGGATCCTTTGATTATGGTTAAATCAAAACTATTCTTCCTCAAAATTGATTTCAGAATAGAAATCTGTAAATGGCCAGACCAAGTCCACATCAATAAAAGTTGGAGCACACTTTGTATTTTTCTATACCATCTTTCTTTAAATAGCCCCCCACAACACTTTTAACACCATAAAGCAT